TCGGGGTGGTTCTAGGCCTCCGAGATGGGGTCGGAGTAGATGGGCTCGGAGGATTGCGCCTCATCGCCGATACATCGGCGATGCGTCTCGATGTGGAGCCCGACTTGCTCCACGTCGACGTCGCCGATGCACCGCCAATGCCGACGTTGCATCGCTGGTGCATCGCCGATACATCGCCGATACATCGCTGATACATCGCCGATGTATCGGCGATGCGGCGCGATCCTCCGACCCCATCTACTCCGACCCCATCTAGGAGGCCTCTAGTGGTGCACTCTTGCGGTGGGGGGCTCTGATTCTGCGCGGGGCTTCTGCCAGTTGTGGATGCCACTGTGCCCAGCCACCCTCCGATGTCGTGCCCTCGCGTTGAAGAGACAGTGCCCCGCGTCATTCCTCCTCGCCCTCCTCCCTGCTACTTCCTGCCTCCTCCCGGCCCCGCCTTGGCCCTCCGCATAGCGCTCACACGTTTCGTTGCAATATGGCAAACTCCACCGAGTGCCTCCGGGGCGCAGTTCGTATGCGTCCCCCCGACTCATTTCGGCACACTTGTTGCATGTTTCGTGGCCCCACAGGGAGCTCCACCGAGTGCTTTCGTGGCGCAGTGGGCGTGCGTCCGCCCGGCCCATTTCTGCACACCCCTGAAACATTCCGCGGCCCCAAAGGGAGCTCTACCGAGGTCCTGCCTCGCGCATGCGCCCGCCCTACCCAATTCGGCACACCACACACGTTTCGTTGCCCCATGGAGACCTCCATCAGGTGCCTCCGTGGCGCAATTCGCGTTCATCCGCCCGACCCATGTCGGCACACCCCTCACACGTTTCGTGGCCCCATGGGAGCCTTTCCGAGTGTTTCTGTGGCGCAGTTGGCATGCGTCCGCCTTACCACCATGTCGGCACAGCCCTCCCACGTTTCGTGGCCCCATTTTGGGCACACCCCTCACAAGCTCCGTGGACGCATGAGAAGCGCCACCGAGAGTTTCCTTGGTGCAGTTCGCAGGCATCCGCCCGACCCATGTCGGTACACCCCTCACACGTTTCGTGCCCCCCTCCAGAACTCCACCGACGGGCCCCCGCGGCTGCGCTGGCCCAGCGCCGCCAGCTCCGTTTCGGCACACTCCTCACACGCCTCGTGGCCTCCGAGGGCTCCACCGAAATCTCCAGCGGCTGCGCTCGCATGAGAAGACCGCGCCCCATTCGGCATACCCCCACACTTCGTGGCCCAAGGGGAGATTCACCAAAAGCGGTACCCACAACTCGGTGCGCATTTTTGCATTTGGTTGGGCCCATCGCCAGGATCATGTTCTGACGGTGCATCGTGCCACGGCAGCTCCATCTTCCATTCCTCCCTCAATTCTCCTTCTCTATCCCTCCCTCCCTCCCTCCCTCCCTCCCTCCCTATCATCATCCTGACCATTCCTCCTCTGTCTTCTCCTCCTCCTCCTCATCCTCCTCCTCCTCCTCCTCCTCCTCCTCCTCCTCCTCCTCCTCCTCCTCCTCCCCCTCCCCCTCCTCCTCCTCCTCCTCCTCCTCCTCCTCCTCCTCCTCCTCCTCCTCCTCCGCTTCCTCCGCTTTCATCCCCCTCCTCCTCATCCTAATACTTCTTTGCCGTTCCTCCTCCTAACGGGGCGGGAGGGGAGTTGGGAAGGGGACGGGAGAGCGGAGGGAGGAGGGGACGAGAAGGGCGGAAGGCACAGATGCGGGAGGGGAGAGGGATGGGGAGGAGGTGATGGGTGCAGGAGGGGAACTCGCAGGAGGGAGATGAGCGGAGGAGGAGGACGACGATGGAGGAGACGGAAAAGGGGAAGGAGGAGGAGGAGGAGGCAGACGATGGAGGAGGAGGAGGAGGAGGAGGAGGAGGAGGAGGAGGGGGAAAGCTGCAGTGGGCGGGGAGAGGGTGGGGCGGGCCCCCCAGGGGGGTGGGCCGGGGAGCGGGAGCGGCAGCGGCCCGGCTTCCCCGTGCGTCGGCGGAGGCGAGAGGCCAGGCGGCGAAGTTGGAGGAGGAGGCGAAGTACGCGGCCTTCGGACAGTGGTGCAAGGACCGTCCCCCCGCCCCCTCCACTCGAGAAAAAAAAACGCCCTACACATACACTTCGGGGCGCTCCGCGCGGAGTTCTTGGATCCGCGCTGGGTCCCCCCCTGGCGGCGCCTCCGGCGCAGCCCCTGGCGCGCTCCGCGCGCCCAGGGAGGAGGGTCCAGCGCAGATCCAAGAAATCCGCGCGGAGCGCCCAAAGGTTTTGCTTATGGTGTTTTTTCTTGTTCTATTCACCGCCCCCATGACATGACTCCTACTCCTCCCGCTCAGCCTCCACTCTCCACTGCCCCCCCTGACCCTCCTCACTCTCGTCGTCGTCGCAAACCGTGCGGGTTCCGCCCCCTGCCGCTGGCCCCCCCTCCGTCAAGATGGGACATGAGAGAGGCGTCGGTGCGTCTCGGCGTTGCCTTGGCGCATCTGGGAACACCATGCGGGGGCGGAAAGGAGTCATCAGCGCATATTGAGACGCTGGCGTTATCGAAGGCGCCTATGGCGAATCACCGCCGTCCCCTGCCCGTTTGGAAGTGCCTATGTAGCCGACAGTTGGGCTAGAACTTGGCCAAGCTATCGGGCCAGTTGTTCCCCGAGTCGGTTTGGAAAGCTTTCGGGGGAGGCGTGGGGGAGCAAGGCGAGAAGGATCAGGAGAGGGAGGATGATGCTGATGCTGATGCTGATGCTGATGCTGATGCTGATGCTGATGCTGATGATGATGATGATGATGATGATGATGATGATGATGATGATGATGATGATGATGATGATGATGATGATGATGATGATGATGACGACTTGGAAGAGGATGAGGATGAGGATATGATGAGGATGATGGGGGAGGAGGAGTGGGAGGAGGAGGAGGAGGAGGAGACTTCTTGGGAAACTCTTGGGAGGCCTCTTGGGAGGCCTCTGCGGAGCTTCCTGGGGGCCTTTTGGAGGCCTCTCGGGAGCCTCCCTGGGCATCTCGGGGGCCTCTTCGGAGCTTCTTGGGGGCCTCTTTGGTCGTCTGAGGGCGTTCCTGACTCATCTTACGTCGTCGAAAGCCGTCTTGGGGGCCTCTCTGAACCGATTTTGGGCCCCCTGCGGGCGCGTAGGGCCGTCTTGGAGACTATCGTGGGCGCCTTGGGGTGGTCTTGGGGGCCTATTGGGCCGTCATGGGGCCATTTTGGAGGCCTCTTGGGCGGTCTTAGGGCGACCTTGGGGGGGTCTCGTTGGCCGTCTTGGGCCATCTGAAGGCCGACAAGGTGCAACTGACAAAATCAGTCAAAAACCTAATCAAGGAAGATCCATGATGTTGACCTCTTGGAGGCCTCCTGGGTCGTCTTGGCGGCCTCTTGGGAGCCTCTTGGACCGTCGTGGGTCAACTTGAGGCTTTCTTGGACCGTCTTGGGTGCATCTTGGGACGTATTGGAGGCATCTTGGGGCCATCTTGGCCGGCTTGGAGGGCATCTTGGCCGTTTTGGGTGCATCTTGGAGGCCATCTTGGGCCATCGTGGCCGTCCAGGGGATCTTTTCTGCGAGTTCCGAGCCTTGCGATCCCTTCCGGGTGGCTGGCGGGACGGGCCGAAGCCCCACAGGGTTTTTCTTTTCGAGAAGAACCATAACCAAATCGTAAGAAGTCCAGCGCGCCGGGCACCCCTGTAACAAATCAACAGGGGGCGGCGGATCCGCCACCGTGCTCGGTCAGTGGGTCTGGGGCCTCTTGTGTATGTGTTGGGGTGTCGCGGGGAGCCTCTCGCGGGTCTCCAGGAGGCGGCTTGGGCGCCTCTTGGGGGCCATTTGGGGCCCCGTGGGGTGTTTTTGGGGCCTCTCGGAGGCCTCTTGGGCGCGTCTTGGGCGCCTCTTGGGGCCTCTCGGGTCTCTTGCCAGCCTTCTGGCGGCCTTTTGGGGTCTCCTGGGGGCTACTCGGGGCACAACTATCGAATGTTCGGTTCGTGGCCCCCTGCTTAGGCCCATTTGGGGCCCTCTTGGGACCCTGTTGGGCCGTCTTGAGCGCTTGTCGTGCCATCTTGGAGCCCTCTTGGGCCGTCTTGGGGCCCTCTTGGATGCGTCTTGGGCTGTCTTGGGTCGGTCTTGGGAGCTTCTTGAGCCGTCTTAGAGCGTCGGAAAGCCGAACATGCCAGGAGGCCAACATCCTACAACAATCTTAGTATTATTTGCGATTTTGGCCTCTTGGGGCTCTCTCGGGAGGCCTCTTGGAGCGCTCTTGGGGCGTCTTTGGGCCCTCTTGTTGAACAGTCTTGGAACCATCTTAGGGCGCCTTGGAGCACTCTTGGCCCCGGCAATGCGAATATGGCGTAATGTGCTAAGGTTTACGGCTTCGGGGGCGCGAATATTGTGTCATTCACGAGGGCTTGTTGCTTCGGGGACGCAAGCATTGTGTAGTTTAGTAGGTTTGTGGCCTCGGGAACGCGAACCTAGTGTAATTGACAAACAAAGGATTCTGGCCTGGGTGGCGCGAGCCTCATGTGTTTTATGTGCCCCATGCCCCCCCATGAATTCAGAGAGCGCGATTCGGTGTTGGTAACCGGGCGGTTTGGGGCTCCCCCCCTCTCGCGCGGACTTAAACAATGTGCAGAAGGAAGCAGAAATCATGACTGTCACAATGGAGACTTGAAACTGCAACTGGTGCAGGTAGCAGCACACTTCGGCCTACAGCCTGGTCTTTCTCTTCGTTTTCTTCCCTCTTCTCCTTGTCCCCGTTCTTATCAAACGCGTCGTCGTCATCGTAGCCCTTGTGATCTTTGTTTTATGCATTGTATTGCCGCTTGGCGCGAGCCCCCACACCCCACCCCCTACCCCCCCACGGAGTAGGTCTTGACTGTTTTTGTTGGGCGCCTGTTTCGAGCGGGTGGAGTCTCCCCCAGAGGCAGCACTCCTGCAAACAGTCGCACTGAGCAGGGGTCTGGAGCCAAACCCCCCCTCCCCCCCCTTTTCCGCCCAATGTCGAAACGCCGGATACAAAAAAACGCTCACCTTATCAACCCTTCGTCATCCTGGGTCCTCTTCCACCCCAGTTCCTCTTGTTCCCTCCACCGCCCGTGCTTTCCTCCTCGTTCTCCTCCTCCAATCTCTTTCGCCCCCTCCCTCCGTCCCCCCCTTCCCTCCCTCCTCCTCCTCCTCCTCCTCCTCCTCCTCCTAATCCTCCCCCTCTCGTCCTATCCGTCCCGTCGCAATGGGCGTGCGGTGGTGCCCTCTCGGATGCCTCCCCACGCTTCCTGGCCTCGAAGCTGGGCTTGGTTGACATGCCGCCTCCAGGAACGGTTGACGGCAGCGGGCCCTTGACAGTAGAATGTGTGATGCACGGCTGGAGCTGGTTGCGTGTTGGCTCTGCATTGCGAGTGCGGTGGCGCGTTCTGCTGGCGCGGAAGTCTGTCTCCTCCGCCGCAGTTCGCGCCGCCCCGCTCGCTCGCGGGCGGCGATCGCTCTGGGGCGACCGGGTCACAGTGCACACGTGCGTCGGTGCAGGGCAGGGGGCTGGCGGGCGCAGGACGGAGCATGGAGCCCGTGTGTCCCAGTCGGGTCGGACGGAAGGGGGGATTTGGGAGGGGGAAGTGCGACATCTGTGAATCCGTACCTCGAGAACGAGCCTGATCCACCATCGCCAGTGATTCACATCATGGACGCACATCAATCGCGGACACCAGCACCATACATCAGCATCATACACCACGTCAATGTATCAACACGCAGACCACAGACGTCGACAGCATATATCAACCACCGTCACCAGCAACACATCGCATGCGTAAGTTACATACATGGGTAAGAGACGCTCAGCACATGCATCATTAAATGCATCATAATCGCGGATCCATACAAGGAAACCAGTAACATATATTCTGAGCAAACACCAGGAGCAGGCACCAATCCATGCATCATAGAAGAGCACGCGCGGGTAACACTATCAAACACCAATGACATACACCAAGCACAGCCACCAACACTATTCATCAAGCACCTGCACGAACATCAGGCACGATCCACAGGCACTACAAAGGACCACATACTATGCGCAAGCTACAACCACCATCCGCACCCGTATATTGCATACACCAAGGCTCTACGCCGAATGCTTATATCACGATCATACAATATGAACGGCCAGCATCAAAACCATATGGCAAGGACATACGCCATACATCAACACATAGCGCGCATCGATGGCATGCATGCAGAACTTCAGTCTTGATGCACTGGGAGCCATACTGAATACAAAGACGGCGTAGACCTGCTGTACGTGTTTTGCAGACCTGGTGTAAGTGTATAGTGTAAGTGTACAGTGCATGCTATTTTGTTCCTCTGCAGAGAGCGGGTGAGGAGCAGTCAAGGAGGAGGTGTCTCCAGGAGGAGGCGGAGGGGCACGGATAGGAGAAGGATTTGCATGGCTCAGCAAGCGCAGAGTTCCGACGACTCCGCTGTTTCGACTGACGACCCCCTCGGAATGGTCCAACTGCGCACGCTACCCCGACTCTGGCTGGGCCAGTCCTGGGCCTGGGATCGAAGCATACGCCCTCCCGGCCAATCCAGGATTGGAGCGGAGCATACGCCGGGCAAGAGATCGGCGGAGGTGAATAGTTGGCCCTATCCGAGGGTAGGTTCGAGTCGGGCCGACGCGGTCAAGGTTAAACGCCGTAAGTGGCCCCGATGCGGCCGATGTCAAACGGTCCGCGCCGTCGGAGAGCCGCGCCATCCAAGGATGGACGATCCGCGCGGTGGCGCAAACCAGCGCGCACGTCATCGCGACACGACCCTGCTGTACCCCTGGAAGTCGCCTGGGCGCGATGGCGGCAGGGCTGCTGCCTCGCCTCGGGGTCCAGCACCCCAGCTCTGATGGACCTGTTTTCCACCACCACCACCATAAGTTGGAGGGGGAGGGGGTCCTCCTCCTCCTCCTCCTCCTCCTCCTCCTCCTCCTCCTCCTCCTCCTCCTCCTCCTCCTCCTCCCCCCTCCAACTTATGGTGGCGGTGGTGAAAACAGGCCCATCAAGCTCGGCCACCCCCGCAAGAGTGGCCCTGCGCTGGAGCGACCTCGGTGCGCGGCCCTGCGGCAACGCAGGCCGGCCAGGCCGGGGCACGCCCGCCGCTGCAGTGGAGGCCCATGCCAAGAGACACCCTGCTTGCCTCCAGGGGTAAGAGCCCTCGCTTCCAACGCAGCGTGCCGCGCCGGCGGCCCGCGTAGGCCTCTGCGTAAGGTCGCTGCGTCATCTCGCGTGCGACCCGTTTTTGATCGTCGGCCAAGTGGTTTTGGAATTCCCAAGGAGGGGGTCCGGCGCCGACCCCCGAATATTGCGCCCAGGCCTCCGGCAACGTCATAGTCGGGCGAGCCCAAGGCCCTGAATGGGCGCGCCCAAAAATCGATTGTGCCCCATCATCCCTCTTGTCACGACGTACAGTGGAGGCCCATGCCAAGAAACACCCTGCTTGCCTCTAGGGTGCCCCGGGTCTCTTGGGTGTCGATGGTTTTGACATGGAAAGCGTGACGTGCCCATGCCAAAAATCAATGGGCGTCCTGGGGTCTCCGGGTCGGGTTTCTTGTGGGAGATGTTTTGTGGGCGGGCCTCTACTGCACACTTCGCCAGGGGGGACGCGGGCCCGGAGGGCAACGGGCCCCCGTCTCTTCTCCGCCCTCGGGCCCTCGGGGCCCTGCACGGCCCCCCGGGGCTGTCCGAGATCGATCCAGGCGCCCAGGAGGAAGACTTCGTCCTGCGGGGGGAGGGCCCCGCGGGGGCCAGGGACCCCCCCTTGGGACCCGCTTCCCCCAGGGCGGCGCTATACTTGAGTCGGGCCTGTCCCTCTACAGGAGGCCTATTCAAAAATAGCTAACATGTAGTATGGGGACGATGTTTTTTTTTTTTTGTTCAGCATTTTTGGACACTTTTTGACTAGGCTTCACTTTCCGCCCAAAGTCCGCCTGTAGGGGGACATGCCCGACCTGGCGCTATCCTGCCGCACCGCATGCCTCCAGCGGCACGCCGCGCACCACCGGGCCGCGCCTGCCCGGGGCCACTCCTGGGGCCCGGTGGCCGGCCGATCATCCTCGCGCCGATGGCGGGCTTCTCCACCTAGGGGGCCACATGTGAACCCTACCCCTACCCCCCACGATTTCTGAAGGGGAGGGTGGGGTCCACTTCGCTCGAAAGCTCCCGAACGAAGTGAACCTCACCCTCCCCCTCAGAAATCGTGGGGGGTAGGGGTAGGGTTCACATGTGGCCCCCTACCACCCCGGAGCTGGTCGCCGCCGTGGCCGACGCCGGCGGCCTGGCGATGTTCGGCGCGGGCACGACGCCGAGGGAGGCGCTGCTCGCCGCGCTGAGGCTCGGCGGGGGGCCCGTCGAGACAACGGCGTTGCCTTCCGGCAACGCCCAGGCATGCTTGTATGATTCAGGAGGGGTAAACTGGCCACGAGCAGAAGGGGGTAGGGGGAGGGGGGAAGGCTTCTTAGAACCACCCCTGCTTCTTAGAAGGCGCGGGCCTTCTTTGTAGAAGTAAGGCCGTCGCCTTCTAAGAAGCAGCCTCCTTCTAAGAAGCCTTCCCCCCTCCCCCTACCCCCTTCTGCGCGCCGCCAAGTAAAGACACACAGGCGCAAGTAATCGTCGACTCCTCGGAGAATATCGGGAATTATGGGAAGTGCGGGGGGGGGCATGCGGCAACCCAGAAAGTATGGGGAAATGTGGGGGATCTTTGGATGTGTGTCTATGATTCGTGTGTCCCAGGGCCCCTTCAATTATGTGTCACCGAGCGCGTTCCACTACTCGCACGGTGTCGGCCACGCGCAGAGGGGGCACGGGGGAGGGGAGAGGGATTCTTAGAAGCACCCCCCTTCTTAGAAGGCGCGGGCGCCCCTTCTGAGAAGCTGGTGGCTGTCTCTTAGAAGCTGTTCCTCGCTTGCTTCTAAGAAGCAGGTGGCTTGCTTCTAAGAAGCAGTTCTGTGCTTCCAAGAAGCTGCTGAGGTGCTTCTAAGAAGCGGCGCGCCCCTGGCTTCTTGGAAGGGTGGCTGGCGCCTTCTAAGAGGCAGCCGCCTTCCAGGAAGCCTCCCCCCCTCCCCCATACCCCCCTGGTGCGCGCCGACAACAGCGCCTACTCGCAAACGCTCGAAAAAACACGCTCGCCTCGATATAGCATGTATCGTAAAGCCCCCTTGCGGTGGATCCGCCAGTCCATTTGCGATTATAGTTACTCTGCGAGTGGTGGTGGGACGCGTTTGTCGTCCAGTGTGTGCGTCGGGCCCCCAGGGGCGACGCGCGTGCTCAGGCATCTTACATGTAGCATGTACTCGGTGGCGGGCGCTGTCTGGCCCATACCGCTTGGGTAACGATTCAAGCAGTGGCGTAGCGCCTCGGCGTGCCTATAGGCCTACCAGTCAATGTTCTAAGAACCTTGTGTGGTTTCCAAGAGATGCTCCTAGAACATGTCTGGCCAGGCTTGTCTTGTTTGAACACATCAGGTTTCTGTCCTAAGATCATGGTTGTTGATCTTAGAAAACTGTGGGTTCTAAGAACATGACGTGGTATGCCTATAGGAATGCCGGGACGGTCGGTGCCTGCTCAAACGATGTACCATGCAACATTTGTATTGCATGCTACGTGGCGTCCAAGGGGTGGCAGTATGCCCTTCTGCGTCCCAGCCCTCCCCGGCGTTTTTTGCTTTTCGCTGTTCGTCCCAGCCCTCAAGGCCTCCTAGATGGGGTCGGAGAAAATGGGGTCGGAGGATCGCGCCGCATCGCCGATGTATCGACGATGCGGCTCGATGCGGAGCTCGACTTTTCCCACGCCGACGCCGCGAAAGCGTCGCCTACGTCGCCAGTGCATCGGCGATGCATTGGCGATGCGGCGCGATCCTTCGACACCATCTGCTTGGACTCTATCTAGGAGGCCTCTATCCTTGGCCTCCTGAAAATGACGGCTCGTCGCCGCGGCTGCATCCGCCCCGACGAGCGAGTCAGGGCGGCCTCCGGGAGGGGGAGGACGAGGAGGAGGAGGAGGAGTAGGAGGAGGAGGAGAAAGAGGAGGATGAGGAGGAGGAGGAGGACGAGGAGAAGGGGAGAGCACTTGCCTGTCTGGCTCAGGGTCCATGGAGGAGGAGGAGGAGGAGGAGGTGGAGGAGGAGGGGGAGGAGGAGGAGGAGGAGGAGGAAGAGGGTCCGGGGCTCATTTCTTTGAGCGCACCGGGGGCGGGCGGGAGGGCCGCGGCTGTCTCCACAGGGCCCTGCTCCGATCTCCGCGCCGAGGCGCGCGAAGGCGCTCACGCGGGCGCCCGGCGCGGGCGCGAGGAGCGGGAGAGGGCAGGGCCGACGGCATCGAGGATCGAGGGTCGAACGAAAGGGGTCACGCCCATAGTGGGCCCTGGAAACGACAGGGCCGTTTTTGTTACCGGTCCGTTTTGCTGGTTTTGTTGCCTGTTCCGGCGTTGTTTTTGATGCTGGTTCCGTCGCCGTTTTTTGGCCGGTTTCGGCTCCAGCTCCACTTCCGGAGCCGTTTTTGATTGACGTTTCTGGTTTCCGTTTCTATTGTTTCATTTTCAAGAGACGCTGTTTCGAGAAAGATGGAACATCGGCCCTGTCGTTTCCTGGGCCCGCTAAGGTCACAACGACAGTTGCATGCAGAAGGTTTGACCTCGCCGCCAGGCGCTTTGCTCGGCGCGTGCGCCTCCGGCCCGGGGAGGCGTCGGGGAAGGCAGCTACGTGGGATGCTGCGCCCCCCCCTATACTAACCAACCCTCCCCTTTGGTCCGACCCGAGAGGATTGAGGATCGATGGCGTCGGCGTGCTCGTGACGGAGGTTCCTGTTGGTTTCTGCAGGTTTTCGTCGCTCGAGAGCCTGGCCAGGAACCTCGAGGTGTATGCACGTCTCCCTTGCGTCGAACCCCTGTCCTCGAGCCTCTGTGCTCGAACCTCTCGAACCTTGATCCTCGAACCTCGAGGTGTACAGTGAGCGGCTAGAACAAGGGGCACTTACTTTTCGAAGGGGGCTCGGTCGTTCCTTGGGCTTGCATTCGTTGTGTTTTTTTTCTCGTTCTACATGCGTTATACCCTGGGGAACACAAGGGGCTTCGTCCCTCGCTAATCGTTCCTTAGGTCAGGCCGATGGCCGTGCACGTCTCTCCTGACATCCCCTGACGTCACCCGCTGGAGCGCGGAGATGACACCCCCTTGCGATAGCCTCGTGCCCTGTCGATGCGGCGGCGACCCCGGCGCGGACCTCCAAGGCCGAGCGCCGCCGGCCTGGGGCCGGCCGAGGTGCAGCGCATCGGCGCTGTCGGGAAGCTGCGACCATGGCCGCCAAGGGCCCCCTCCTCCTCGTCCTCCTCCTCCTCCTCCTCCTCCTCCTCCTCCTCCTCCTCCTCCTCCCCTCCTCCTCCTCCTCCCCCTCCTCCTCCTCCTCCTCCTCCTCCTCCTCCTCCTCCTCCTCCTCCTCCTCCTCCTCCTCCCAGGTGGCTTGGCGCGGGCACCGCAGCTGTTTTGCCCCGCGGCGGGCGCCCGCCGTGCCAATGCCCCCAGCGCCAGGCCTCTCCCCTGGCGCGTCCGCGGATGCCCCTGGCCTCGCCTGGAGCAGCTGATGCGATTCATGTTGACAGCGCACGTGCCGTCTTCGTGCGCGGCCTCGCTGTCCCGAGCTGCCCGTCGCCGTGCCAGGGCGCGGTGCACGGCGGCGCGCCATGCGCAGGCAGCGGCTGGCGCCATCGTCGCCCTGCTGCAGCCACGGGACCCGGACACACCGGCTGTGGACAGGGCTCCACGCATGGACGCGCTGGAGACGCTCACCAGCCTCTCCGCGGCCGCAGGGGCCAACAGGGCTGCGCAACGGATCCGCACCGCCGCCACGGTGCGCACGCCCCTTCGTAGCCAGGCTGCTGTATACTACCCTGCTGGTCCTCTCGCCTCGCTTTACATTGACGGCTCCGACGACTTTGCCTCGCGCTTGTCGGGCAGTGGCGTTGCTACGGGTCGTGGGGGTGTTGTCCCTGGAACCGCGGTTCTGGGTGCTACTCACGCTGGCCGTGCTGCTGGCGTCCCACGTCGTGGCTTTCTCGAGGACCATCGCCGTGAAGTGCGTGACGGAGTCCGTGATGTCTTTCCTCTTGGAGGTGCAGCTGATGATTCTCAAGCCGTTCATCGTTGCGACGAAGTGTGCCCAAAACATGGTCGTGGTGCTCGTGTCGACGCCGTTCATGGACCCCCTGATGGCGCTCCTCCTCGCCCAGTTCCTGGGCCGCGTGGGCGAGTTTTTGGCCCGCGACCTTGGCACGGCGTTCCTCGGCCACTCCCTGGACCTCCTGGGCGCGTCTTCAAGGTTGGGCCTCAATACGTTGCTCGAGATGCCGTACCTCGTCGAGTCCCTGGGCCTCGCGGGCGTCTCTTTCGTGCTCGGCCGTGGAATGGTGCTCTTCGCCCGCTCGTCGGACCCCGAGGGCGCGTATTCAAGGCTGGGCCACCACTCAATGACACCAAATTGGCACGAGAGGGTGTCAAGGTACTCAGCGGCGGTACTGCTTCCCACGTCGAGGCCTATAGAACCGCTCTCGCTCATGGCGCGGCGGCGGAGACCACAAGCTGCGACAACTTTTTCAGTGACATGGCGTACAAGTGGGCGTTGCGCGCTGAAGGCATGCTGGATATTCTCTGCCGCCCTAAGCCTAGTGAGGCGGACGATGATGCGCCGACGAGTGCTGAGCCGCCTTGGACAGGATGCCTAGGCACTGCCTCAGATGGCGTCAGGTGCACGCTTCGTCGTGACCTTTGGCCCCAGCGACCAGGGAGGGGCTCCGATGGGCTCCCCTCGCCTGGAGGGGGGCACAGCCTGGCGGATGGCGCGAGCAGTGCCGTCCCAGGTGATGCCCCACACCTGGTCCACGGGCAGGAATCTAGAGAGAGTGGCTTCGGTGGTCCTCCTGCGTTTTGCGGGAGGCACGGCCTGGAGGATAGCACGAGCTGTGTTGTCCCAGGTGACGCCGCACACCTCTGCTCCCAGGGAGTGGCTACGGTGGACTCCCCTCGCGTTGAGGGGGGCACAGCCTGGAGGATAGCGCATAGCACTGCCCCAGGTGATGCCGCGTACCTGTCTGGAGCTCAGGGCTGACGCTTTCCAGCTTGCCTTCGCTTAGGCCGCGACGCGAGAGAGGTGCACCATCCTGTGTGCACCCCGCGTCGGCACCTTCGGCCTTGTCACTGCTATCTTCTGTCTGTGTAGCTGGCACCCGTGATCCTTTAGGAGGGGTCCCAGCTTTTCCGCAGGCCAGCCAGGCTGCTAGCAGCTTGGCGCTTCAGGTGGGCGTTCGTGCACCGCGCGACGCTTCCCTTGGCAGTGCCGTATCCTCCTCCTCCTCCTCCTCCTCCTCCTCCTCCTCCTCCTCCTCCCCCTCCTCCTCGTCCTCCTTCTCCTTCTTCCCCTCGTCGAGGGCGGCGGAGCGAGGGCGCGGAGGCGGCCTGGCGCGCCGCCGGCAGGCCGATCCTGGCGCGGGGCTTCGCGTTCTCGTCCTCCCTGGCTTCGCCGCTGTCGTCAGGCCGGCGGCGAGCGAGGGGGGAAGCGAGAAGGAGAAGGAGAAGGCCTTTTCAGAAGGCGGCGGGGCTTCCCAGAAGCCCTCGCGCCTTCTGAGAAATGTCCTGTGTCTTCGGTGAAGGCCGAGGAAACTTGTCAGAAGGCCTGGGGCATTGCGAGCCTTCTGAGAAGGCCCGCCCCTTCTCTCTTCCCCCGCGCTCGCCTCCGAATCGGTTAATGTCGGGCCTGTCCCTCTACAGGAGGAGTATTCAAGAATAGTCAACCAATAGTCTGGGGACGATTGTTTTTTTGCGTTTTACCGGTTTTGTTGTTTGGGAACATGTTTTGACAATGTTTTAATGGTTCGTCCAAAATCCGCCTGTAGGGGGACACGCCCGATTTCAGAGTGGGTCTCGCAGGAGGGGTCGGAGTAGGTGGAGTCGGATGATCGCGCCCCATCGCAGATGCATCGGCGATGCGGCTCGATGTGGAGCCCGATTTTCTCCACGCCGACGTCGCCGACACAACGCCGACGTCGCGATGCGGCGCGATCCTCCAACCCCATCTGGGCCTACGTACAAGGGTCCCCCCAGCAACGGGCTGGCGCGCTTGGGTTTGGCCTCCTCGCGGCCCCCCGAAGCCGCGCGGCCGATTATCAGCTGGACAGGTGTGCGTCCGAAATACCTGGGTGACCAACAACGTGTCGAAATTGCGACCGAAACGGTAGGTTGACCGAGAGTGTTACCGAACATCGCTTTGGCTTCGAGCCAGGAGTTTCGGTCACACGCTATCGCGATCGGGAAACAAATCGGCGCTGGCTCGCTGGGCTGCGCGCCGCGCATCTCTGGGCGCGGTGCGCGGGGGTTTGTTGGTATGCGGCTCCATCTCTCCCCAGGATTGGCGTCAACCTGTTCGTTCCCTCCGGATTCCACGTGGAGCCGTTGCGGTGGACGGCCCAGCAGGCCTCCGCAGAGGGCAGACCTACACCGCCACCAGGCCAGGCCAGCCCAGGCCCACTCATGGCCAGATCCTGCTGCATCATCTCGAATACAGCGGAGGCCCATGCCCAGAAACACACTTCTTGCCTCCAGGGTGCCTTTGGCTTCTTGGGTTTCGATGGTATTGCTGTGGAAAGCGCGACGTTCCCACACCAAAAACGAATGACGTCCTGGGGTCTCAGGGTTGGGTTCTTGGCGAAAGGTTTCTTGTGGACTGGCCTCCGCTGGAAAAGAAACGTGAGCATGAACTTGTTTCGGCCCGCGCCGAGATCCTGGATCGGCGCTGGACCTCTCTCCCTGGCGCGCGAAGCCTCCCAGGGGCGGCGTTGGAGGCGCCGCCAGGGGGGATGCCCAGCGCCGATGCGCGAAGTCCGCGCCGACCTCTGGACGCTCTTGTCCGTGCGGTGGCTTGCTCCTCCAATGTTTTGCTCGGGACCTGGCCGAGAGCCGATGTTCAGAGCAGCAAGAAGTCACGATAACGATGCGCTCCACGATTCCCAAGTTTTTGCGCTGCTCCTCGCAGGCTCCACAGCCCCAGAGGCGATGGCCGCCAGAGACTCCGGCACTCCCAGAACACAGTTAGGCCGAGCCACTCGCATCGTGGCGCCATGGGTAAGGCTTCGGGCGCGGAGTGCCCCAGGGGCGCCGCCGGAGGCGGCGCCAGGGTGCTGAGTCGGGCGCGAATTTATGAGGGGCGATGGAGGGGGGGCAGCCAGGGCTGCAGAAAAGAAGCCCTTCAGGGCCCCTGAAGGGCCTTTCGGGGTCAGAAGGGGGCTTTCAGGGCCAGAGAAGGGCACCGTTCTCCTCCCCCCCCCCCAATTGTCGCACCCCCATTAATTCGCACCCAAACTAAGACCGCCTTGGAGTACTCGGGGAGGCCTGGTGAGGCCAGCCAGGACTACTCTCGTGGGCCCTGCTGAGGCCAGCCCAGATTACTGGGGGGGGTTGTCTGTGCTCCACCCGAAGCCTCACCTTGGGCGTCGACGGAACGCTCACGCAGACCAGGCGACTGAGGACATCTACTCGGCCACGCCCAGAGGGGGGCAGGGGCAGGGGGACGGCTTCTTAGCAGCACCCCTGCTCCTTAGAAGGCGCGGGCCTTGTCTGTGGATGTAAGGCCCGCGCCTTTAAGGAGCAGCCTCCTTCTAAGCAGCCTTCCCCCCTCCCCCTACCTTTGGCGCGCCGCCAATCTACACTGGTCCACTCGACATTGGCATTCGAGCGCCCCTGGCCGGTTTCGTAAATCGTCGTGCGTTTGGCGGGTTGCGTTCGGTTGTCCTGGACGACGATTAGCTATTCCGCTTGGGTGCACTCGGAATGCGGTGCCGTGAGCACGTGGAGTAACCCTGGCATCTTCAATTGAAGGGCGTCTTGCTAGAGGTGATTCTGCCCACCCCCGATTACCAACACCACTCTCATCCTGGATGTGCGGTAAGATCTGGACGACGGCATCAAAACATATTTACACAAGATATTCGTTGTTGTATTCATTGCTTTGGGATCGGCGCGGGCCCCCCCTCCCCCCCCTGGAGTAGATCTTGGCTGTATGTTGGCGCCTGTTTCGAGCAGGTGGCGTTTCCCTCATAGGACGCACGGTTCCAGACAGTCGCAGTAAGCAGAGGTCCGGAGCCAGACCCCCCCCCTCCCCCCCCTTTCAGCCCAATGTCGAAACGCCGAATCAAACAACGCTCACTAGACGTGCGTCGCCCCCAAAGGGGCGGCGCGCGCAGAACAAGTCTTCCCGCACATGCTCGGTGGCGGGCGTAACGGTACACTGTACCGCTGTTGTGCTATTATAGTATGCGCTGGTCGGGCATCTTCCCAAATGTCCTGGCGCCTCTTGAGATTTCAATACTTCCCCGGGCCCCCCCTGGGCCGCGCACATGCCCTGTTGGACGCCCCCATCCCCTCTTGGACGCCCCCCTCTTGGCCGCCCCCGAAGCCAGAGCGCCCGATCTTGCAGGATCCTGCAGGGCCAGGGGTGCACTGACCCGGGCCTGGGCGCAGGATCCTGCAGGATTTTGCAGGATCCTTCGCATCCTCCTCCTCCTCCTCCTGCACCTCCTGCACTTCCTTCTCCTCCTCCTCCTCCTCCTCCTCCTCCTCCTCCTCCTCCTCCTGCCCCTGCTCCTCCCCCTCCTCCTCCTCCTCCTCCTCCTCCTCCTCCTCCTCCTCCTCCTCCTCCTGGTCACGAGCGCGCCCTGCCTGGCACGCCCTGCCCAGCCTGGCCCCCGAGGCCGCCGCCGTGCGGAGCGCGGCGGCCCGGCACGCGGCCGCCCTCGCCGAGCTGCCCGGGGGCGCGGGCGCGCCGGCCGCGGCGGCGGCCTCGCGGGGGGCCGCCGTGGCGGTCTTTGAGGGGCAGGCGCCTCAGTCATCATCAACATCATCGCGAGCATTATCAGCATCATCAGCATCAGCATCATCATCATCATCAGCATCATCATTAGCATCATCATCAGCATCATCATCAGCAGAATCATCATACTCATAATCATCAGCATCAGCATCAGCATCATCATCATCATCAGCAATATCACAATCAACATAATCATCATCATCAGCAGCATCAGCATCATCATCATCATCATCATCATCATCATCATCATCAGTATCATCATCATCAGCATCATCATCATCATCACATTCATCTTCATCGTCGTCATCATCATCTAAATTTCACCATCCTCTCCACAGTTGCGCAATCTAGGAGCAGGCGCCTCGGTCGGAGGATCGGGGAAAGAAACGTAAGACTCGAGTAAGCCAGAACTCGGGTTTGCCGGCGTTTTGTGACGAAAGCGTCTTGGATCTTGACGGTCCAGTGTTCGTGGGAGGTCTGCAGCGGGAGATCGCGTCAAATTTCAGATTGGGCCTCGTCATTTTTGTGATGGCCCCGTAAGGCCAACCCGAGTCCCCCTTACCCGAGTCTTACGTCTTCCCGAGAGGAGGAGGAGGATCGAAGAAGAACAACACGCCATAAACAGAAACTTTTGGCGCTGCGCGCGGATGGCTTGGATCGGCGCATGGTCCCCCCCCCGCGGCGCCTCTCGCGCCGGCCCCGGCGCGCTCCGCGCGCCAGGGAGGGGGGTCCAGCCTACATACAAAGAATCCGCGCGGAGCGCCAAGAGTTTATGGTTATGCCTTTTTTTTCTGCTACAGGAGGCGGAGGAGCGATTCGATGATCTCCCCTTTCTCCCTCCCTGCTCCCTGCCTGTCCACTGTGACCTGTCGTTCTACCATCTTGTTATACTGTCTTGTTCTGCTGTCTTGTTCTACTCTCTTGTTCGACTCCGCCAGCCCTGGGGGAAGCGGCTGCGCTCGGAGAGCACCAGAGCCGTCTTGCGATCCGGAAAAATCAGGCGGAGGAGGGGGGGGTTAGGAGGCAGAGGCGAAGGAGGAGGATTTGTCGGCTCATGGGAGCCTTGAGACGGGGGTCAATGCAAACGGGGTCAGCCAGAGCGCCCCGATTTTGCAGGATCCTGCAGGGCCAGGGTCGCATTGAGCCGGGTTTGGGTGCAGGATCTTGCAGGATTTTGCAAGGCCTGATTGACCCAGGTCTGAATTGGCCCGTGTCAGAGGATCCCCGAAGGAGGGATGTTAGGCTTAAGTCGGGCTTGTCCCTCTACAGGAGGAATATCCAAACATAGTCAAAACATAGTCTGGGGACGGTGACCATTCGTCGAGCATGTTTTGAGTCATTTTGGAGTATTTTTTGGGGTGTATATCTTTATTTGTTCGTCCGAAATCCCCCTGTAGGGGGGCATGCCCGACCTAAGGCTAGGAGGCGGAGGCGGCGGCGGAGGATGTGGCGCCTCTCGGCGGAGATGACCCCCCCCCGCGCGCCCTTCGCGCCGTCGCTCTCGGCCGCGCGCCCCTCGGCGTCGGCCGCCCCGCCGCGCCGCCGCCGCGGAGCAGAGCCTTGGCCTCCCGGGGGGGGGCCCAGAAGGCCGCCCCGCCGCAGCGATGAGGGCCTCCCGGGTGATCTGATGGTCGTGTTCTCCGTTACCACCGCCATAAGTTGGAGGGGGAGGGGGTCCTCTTTCTCCTCCTCCTCCTCGTCCTCCTCCTCCTCCTCGTCCTCCTCTCCGTCCTCCACCTCGTCCTCCTCCTCTTCCCCCCGCCAACTTATGGTGGCGGTGGTGGGAAACAGGCCCACCATGATCGTTTGTTATTCATTGTTTGGCCGATCGGCGCGGGCCCTCGCACCCCCCCTCCCCCCCCCATGGAGTTGAGCTTGGCTGTTTGGGGTGCCCGTTTCGAGCTGGTGGAGCCTCTCCCCCAGAGGACGCACGGTTCAAAACAGCCGCGTTAAGCAGAGATCAGGAACCAGACCCCCCCCCCCTCCCCCCTCCCTTCCGCTCAATGTCGAAACGCCGAATAACGAAACGTTCACCAGGAGGCCCATAAAGGCGAGAACGAGGCCAGGATAGCGGTATCGCCACCGTCTCTGGAGGCCTCCCAGATGAGGTCGGAGTTGATGGGGTCGGAGGATCGCGCCGCATCGCCGATGCATCGGCGATGCGGATCGATGTGGAGCCCGATCTTCTCCACGCCAACGTTGCCGGCGCATGGCCGACGCATCGCTGATGCATCGCCGATGCATCGGTGATGAATCGTCGATGTATCACCGATGCGGCACCATCCCGACGCCATCTACTCCAACCCCATCCAGGAGTCCTTCAGAGAAGGTACCCATACTGCTATCCTGGCCTCGTTCTCGCTTTTCTGGGCCTCCTGGGAGGCCCTTCTGGCTACGGCTGGAGTCGCCTCGAACTTCTGGTCAGAGCGCACCCCGGGAGAAGTCCACCGTGGGGCGGCCGAAGCCCTGGTCGGAGTGTACCCGCCGTCGATCGTTATCGTTATCGTTGTGATCGTTGCGATCGCTGTGTTCGTGGTGATTGTTATGATCGTTATCGTCGCTATCGTCATTATCGTTGTCGTTGGCCCGCCGAGGGAGTCTCTGAGGGACAGGCGCCTCGGGCCGCCACGAGGGTTGCGAAGGTCTTCGCAGCTTGCGGTTCGCGGTTCGCGGCCCTTGTTCATTGTCATCATCCTCGTCCCTTTTTCTCCCCCGGGGGGACGCCGCGAGCGCGCGACGTCGTTCGCGTTCCGCGCTCCGCGCAGCGCGAAGCTCGAACAGAGTTGCACCTTGTCTTATGATGTTCTAACCGACTTTAGCTTTGATCGCCAGAAAGAATTTCGAGCACCAGAAAAGCACCGAAACTCCAGGGTTTTCACGTGTCGGGCCCCTGGGGACACTCGTCCGACACTGTTTCGGCTCTCTTTCGACACTTTTCCGGGTGCTCGAAACGATTTCTGGAACGTGGTGCTTACGTACGATGGGAGCAACATAAACAGAGTTGCCCCGTGCATTTTTTGCATCGGCGCTGGGGGCCTTCGGGGGGGGGGCCGCCGAGGCGGACTTCGAGGAGCGGGCGTCTCGGGGCGGCCTGGGCCGCGATCGGAGGGCTCTGGCCGTCGATCGAAGAGGTGAACAGCAGCGGCACAAGCATGAGCACGTGGTCACTCGGCATCGCACAGTCGAGGCTTCCGGACAGGGTGCGTCTGAGTTCTCTGGCAGGGGATCGGCGCTCCCTGGGCCTTCCTGTGGGTCACCTGCGGCGTTCGTCGTGCGCCTGGGCGCAACGGAGGCCCAAAAGGGGGGCGTCCTTCATTGCCGAAGGCTCGCAACGCTGACGCCTTGGCGACGCCAACGCGGGCACTCACGATGCTGAACGCCTCCAGTGGCCTTGAATCGGTCGATGTCGAACCACCCGCGCTGCTGGAACGCCGCGATGACTCAAGGTTGAGCGTTGCACGTTGTGTCGGAAACCGACGCCGACGTCATCGCGTCGGCGACGTCAACCCGCCGTTGTTGCGGTTCAGGATCTTCCCTCCCCCTTTCTCATATTTGTTTCTTGTCCCCTCCCACTTCCTCGGTCTTGTTCGAGAGGACCGATATACCTAAACATGTTGTGCCCTTTTTGGGGACCTCCGGAGCTCCATATACCTCCAGAGACCTCCTGGAGACCACCAGCTATCTCGATAATGATGATGAGTCAAACCTTACCCCTCGCAGCTATCTCTGCCACTCTCTGGCGTCGCGTGCTTACGCACCCACTTTGCCAACATAGATCGCAAATCTATTCAAAGCCTGCCTCGCAGTGTGTGTTGGTCTCAAAGCGCCGTGCATGTGTCGACGAAGTCTCGGTGCGAATCGCACCGCACCGCCGCGAGTTTGGCTGCCCTTCGAGGTGGATGCCCTGATCGAGGAGGGCGTTGGCGTGGTGAGCTTCCACTTCCCGAAGAAGAAACATCGGCACAGCCATAAACTTCCGGAGGCCTTTGGGCAACAATCAATGGCCTGAATACACACTCTCGGAGGTTCGCGCGGATTTCTCGGATCGGCGCTGGGGCTCCATGGCGGCGCCTCCAGCGCCGCCCTTGGCGCGCTCCCCTCGCCAGGGAGGGGGGTCCAGCGTCATGCTCATGTCATTGTGTGTCCCCCGATGCCTGAACGGGTTTCTGGGGTCGGCGCTGGACCCCCCTGCCCCGACCCCAGGAATCCGATCGGAGCCCTGCACTGCAATCGCGAGGCCTAAGATCCTGCGTGCACCCACACCGATCCTGGCACAGGCTCGGCGTGCACGGCCTTCTGCCCGGTCCAGCAGGACGCGCGTGCTCATGGATGGCCCAGGCTGCGCCTGGCCAGGATCGGTGCACTGGTGTGGCGGGCGCCTCCCCGCGAAAACTCGGCGACCAGACGGGGAGGAGCACTGTCAAGGGAGGAAGAGCCACCTGGACCGGACAATTGGCGTTTACTAAACGGACTTGGGCGTTCACTAAACTGCCCTGCCCTGTTTGATTCCATCTTTGGGTGCGTTTACTACACGGCTTCGCGTGTCGGGGTTGTTCTTATCGGCGTGGATTCTCTGCCCTCTACATTGGCTATGGGTACTCTGGCTTTCTTGAGCAGCGTCGGGGGGGGGTACCGCCCCGACGGGGGTCAACCTCGCCTCGTCGTCGCGCCGCGACGGGGGTCGGAGCGCCTGCGGCGTGCGGTCGCTGCCCGCGACAGGGGTCGATGTGGGGCTCTCGGCGGGGGTGACGCTCCCCCCCCGACGCTTAGTAAGAACTTCGGAGTTTTGGTGCGGGCTGTCGGACCCCGGGAGAGGCTCCCCATTCGAGCGAGGCCCCCCGTCCGACAACACGCACCCGCAACCGCCCCCCCTTCCGCCCACCCGCCCGTGTGGGTAGGGGCATGTGTTGGTCGCTCGTCTCGACCGAAGAGCGCCACCATTGCCTTCCAAGGCTCTTGCATCCTTGTCTTATGATGTTCCAACCTACTTAGTCTTGACCATCAGAAAGAATCTCGAGCACCAAAAAGTACCACATCCACCGACCCTCCGACGCCATCTACTCCAACCCCATCCAGGAGTCCTTTGGAGAAGGTACCCATACCGCTATCCTGGCCTCTTTCTCGCTTTCCTGGGCCTCCTGGGAGGCCCTTCTCGCTACGGCTGGAGTCGCCTCGAACTTCTTGTCAGAGCGCACCCCGGGAGAAGTCCACCTTCGGCCGGAGTGCACCCGCCGTCGTTCGTTATCGTTATCGTTGTTATCGCTGTGATCGTTGCGATCGCTGTGATCGTGGTGATTGTTATGATTGTTATCGTCGCTATCGTCATTATCGTTGAGGTTGGCCCGCCGAGGCAGTCTCTGAGGGACAGGCGCCTCGGGCCGCCACGAGGGTTGCGAAGGTCTTCGCAGTTTGCGGTTCGCGGTTCGCGGCCCTTGTTCATTTTCATCATCCTCGTCCCCTTTTCTCCCCCTGGGGGACGCCGCGAGCGCGCGACGTCATTCGCGTTCAGCGCGCCGCGTAGCGCGAAGCTCGAACAGAGTTGCTCCTTGTATCATGATGTTCCAACCTACTTTAGCCTTGACCACTAGAAAGAATTTCGAGCACCAGAAAAGTGCCGAAACTCAAAGGTATTCACGTGTCGGGCCCCGGGGGGGGCACTCGTCCGACACTGTTTCGGCTCTCTTTCGACACTCTCTCGACACTTTCCCAGTCGCTCGAAATTATTTCTGGGATGTGGTTCTTAAGCACGACGGGAGCAACATATTGTAGGCCTGGAAATTGGCACCAACACCAACACAGGGGGTTTGCCTCCACAGGGAGAGGATGATCCCAGATTTCGGTGTTGGTGGTAATATTTCGGTCATCTTGGAAGCCATGATATCTCCACCATCACCGAGATCGGGATCTTCGTCCCTCGGTGGAGGCACACCGCCGATATTGGTGTTGGTGTCAACCTGTAGGCCTGCGAACATAACCTTGACCTGCGTTTTGACTCCTGTCAAGGGCAGAGAAAACGCCCCTACCCTGGTTTACGGGGCGCTGTGCGCTGAAACTCCTGTGGGCCGACAGGCCGAACCCTGCGTGATGTGCCGCATCCTTGCGGCTCTAGGCTCTGGGGGTTCCCAGGAGGTTTACAGACCGCGCACTTGTAACCCAGGGCAGGGTCGCTGTGCATCCCTCAACTCCGTGCTCGTGCCGCTCTTTCCCCTTCGAGCGTCGGCTGGCCCGCCGCCCGGGACGCCGCGCGCCTGCGCGCTGCGGGCGCCGTGCTCCTCGGGAACGCCACCAGCGCCGCTGAGGCGCGGCTCCTGGAGGGCCTGGGAGCCGACGCCGTCATCGCGCAGGGCCCAGAGGCCGGCGGGCACCGCGGCTCCCTCTTCCCCTCGGGGGCGGACAGAAACCCCAACAGTGACACGTCGATTCGTGAATTGTCCGTGTTCGGTTCTCGAGAGGGCGCCGCGACCGCCATTTTCCAGACTTGCGCCCGCCAGGTTTGGGCCCCAGGTCGTTTTTCACTGAACCACGTTTTACTGAAGGGAGGTCTGTCCATCCCCGATCCTTCTCGATCGACGAAGGAACAACGACACAGACATGAAGGAACAACGGCACGGACATGGAGGAACATGGGCCAGATCGGCGAAGGAACAAAACGGCATAGACATGAACACTCGGCGAAAGCAGCGCGGGCTTCTCGCATCGGCGGGCACCGCGGCTCCCTCCTCCGTCTCGGTCGGTGAAGGAACAACGGTTAAGTCGGGCCTGTCCCCCTACATGTGGATTGTGGGTGAAAAATAACAGAACAATCATAAGCGATGCTCAGAAGTAATAGAAACATCCTCCCCATGTTATTATTTGACTTGTTTGCATCCTGTAGAAAGACGCGCCCGACTTAAAACAACGGCGTAGACATGAACACTCGGCGACTTCAGCGCGGGCTTCTCGCATCGGCGCTGCGGCCCCCCCCGGCGGCGCCTCTGGCGCCGCCTCTGGCGCGAGAAGTCCGCGCGGACCTCCGAGAGTCTATGCTCATGCATTTGTCTGTTCCTCTATGTCCTCCTCCCCCTCCTCCCCTTTTATAGCTGCTCGAAGGCACCTTTCGCACCCCCAGGCGTGTCGCCTGAGGCTTCCTCACCACGTGTAATCCTCAATCTTGAAATATGCAACAGCTTCAAGGACGGAGGGCGAGACATTCTCAGAGTGTAGCTTTCGCCGTAGCGCAGTGCACATTTGCTTTACGATGCTTTAGCAATTCTCAGCGATGGAGGGCGGCTCTTTCCAAATGTGACTCTTGCCCTAGAGCCGCTGGCATTTTCAAACTGTACAACGGTTTCTAGGATGAGCGTCGTTCTCAACATGTGGTTGTCGCTTTGGCGCCGCGCATATTCGTGTCAACATTGTACAACAGTTTCAAGGTTGGAGGGCGGGTTGTTCAGACAATGGGGGTCTGGCTCAGCGCCACGCACATTCGCCTTACAAGTTTGCAGTCGTTTCAGGGATGGGCAGCGATTCCTTTTCAAGGTTGGATTCCCGTCTCGCTTTAGCCCCGCGCACAATCCTTCTACCATGCTGCAGCAGCTTCAAGGATACACCGTACGCCGTTCACAACGTGGGGCCTTCGCTGTAGTGCCGCGCACCTTCGTCTCAACATGTTGTAGCAGCTTCAAAGATGGAGGTCGGGTGTACCATAGGATGCCGCCTTCGCGCCGCGCGCATTTGTCTTGCAAGTGTGCAACCGTTCCAGGGATGGAGAGCGGTGTTGTTTCACAGTGGGTTCTTGTCTCGCATCATCGCCGCGTACGTTCGTCGTGCCACGTCGCAGCAGTTCAGATATGCAGCACAGGTCGTTGCCAACATGTGCGTTCCGCCGCAGCGCCAGGTGTATTAGTTTGAACACTTGGCAGTGATTCGATGGATGGAGGACGGTTCTTTTTTTCAGAATGGGTGTCTCGCTTTAGATTTCCTGAGCGTTCACGACCCGAAGTTTCAACACATGCAGCAATCCATGGATCGAGGGTGGTTCCTTCCCAACATGGATTTCTTGCGTGAGTCTCCCCCGAACTTCATGATCACGGGTGTACATTTGCAACACAGTTCCCCGGGTTGGGGCGGTCCCTTTATTCTACATGGGGACCAGAGCACTTCGTTGAATTGGCCATTGTACAGCCATACATGTTGTATGCCTGATTACCCGCCAGACGGATGCAATGCAGTTCCTTTCCAAAACGGGTCCCTCGCCAAGATGGCAAGCCCACACGGTGTTAGATGTTCTAGGGGCCCTTTTTGCAGTGATATGGAGCGCTTGTTGGGACGTATGGGGAGTGGACTTGGAATGGGGTGGTGCACTACAGCATCGCTGGTGAGTCTTGGTTTTACTCTGGTTCTATCATCATCTTTCCGTTTGCTTTTCCCTCCTCTTCCTTCATTCCAGTTCTTTGGTGGGGTGCGTATTTAATAGGGCGTTGCGGGCCTTGTCTTGCTCGCAGTTTTGGTGACGAGTGTTGGTTGTCTGCGCTTCCCCCTGGGTGCGTGTCCCAACGCGGTGCCTGGGTTAACAAGACAGTTCCCAAGACAGTCCTCCTGCCTCCTCTGTCCTTCTTCCTCCGACGCCTCCTCAATCCTCCTTCCTTCTCCTCCCTTCTCCGGATTATACGTGCGCAGCCCGTAATCTGATTTGTAGTTAATTGACAATTGAATCACCACAGCCGTCAAATTGCAGTTTTATTTACGGGGGTGAGGATATTTCGGTGGAATTGTTCAGCCAGGGGATTGAGGGTATTTTGCTGGCAGTTTGAAGTCCAGGGGGGAGGATATTTCGCTGGCAGTTTCAGGCCTGGGGTTGAGGATATTTGAGAGAGCGTGGTCTACCGCCGCTTTACTCTGGACAATTATTCCCCTCTTCCTCCAGAACCTGGGGGTCCCCCTCCCTCCCCCTTCGAAAATCCCCCCCCCTTCCCTCCGCTGCTTGACCCCCCCCCCCGCCCCCCCTTCCCTCGGCAAAACCCCGGGGGGGAGGGTCACTGCCGGTTCGAACCCCCTCCCGCCCCCACCCCTCCAGAAAACCGGGGACTCCCGGGTCTCCACCACCATCCGCATCACATTCCCCACCGCTTCCCCAGCAACACCGCCCCCACCACCACTGTCCCCACTTTTCCCACCGTCCCCACTGTCCCCACCAGTGCCCCCACCACTGCCGCACTGTCCCCACTGTCCCCACCACTGTTCCAACCACGGTCCCCCTCTCCCCACTTTTCCCCACGGTCCCCACCGCTGTCCCACTGTCCCCACTGCTGTCTCCGCTGTCCCTCTGTCCCCGCCGCTGTCCCACTAAGCTGTCCCACTGTTCCCACCAGTGTCCCCACTGTCCCCACCACTGTACCCGTGTCCCATTGTCCCACCACCGTCCTCACCATCGCCCTCACCACTGTCCCCACCACCACCGTCCCCACAACTCTCCCACTGTCCCCACTGTCCCCACCACTGTCCCACTTTCCTCACTGTCCCCACCACTGTCCCGCTGTCCCCTCACCACTGTCCCCACACCGTCCCCACCAGTGTCCCACTGTCCCCACCACTGTCCCACTCTCCCCACACCACTGTCCCCACCACCACCGTCCTCACCACTGTCCCGGTGTCCCGAGGAGCGGAAATCGTTTGCCGGCGGCGAGCGGGGGAGGCGGGTGGGGGCTCGAACCGGTAGTGATTCCCCTCCCTTTTCATGATGGACGGGGGCGGGCGAGGGGGTGGATTCGAACCGGTAGTGAACCCCCCCCCCGGTTTTCGAAGGGGGGGGGGACGGGCTGGGAACCCTCAGTGACCCCCCCCGATTTTCCGCCAGCAGCCGTAGAACACGCTCTTTCGGATATTTGATTTGCAGTTTTAGGCTCGGGGGTGAGGAAATTTAGCTGGCAGTTTTTTCGCGGGGTGTGAGGATATTTCGCTGGCAGTTTTAAGCCAGGGTGTCGAGGATATTTCGCAGGCAGTTTCAGGGGGTGACGACGTTTCGCTTGCAGTTTTAGGCCTGGGGCAGTGAGGATGTTTCGCTGGCAGTCTGAAGCGAGGGGTGTTAGGATATGTTGCTTGCAGTTATAAGTCAGGGGATGGAGGATATTTCGCTGCCAGTTTCAATCGAGTGGTGTGAGGATATTCGCTGGCAGTTTGAAACGAGGGGTGTCAGGATCTTTCGCTGGCAGTTTAGGCCAGGGGGGAGGGTCTTTCGCTGAGGGGTGCGAGGATATTTCGCTGGCATGGCGGTGAGGATATGTCGCTGTCAGTTTAAGTCCAGGGGGGGAGGATATTTAGCTGGCAGTTTTAGGCCAGGGGCGGTGAGGGTATTTCGTGGGCAGTTTTAGGCCAGGGCGTGAGGATGTTTCGCTGGCAGCTTTAAGCGAGGGGTGTGAGGATGTGTCGCTGGCAGCTTTAAGGCCGGGCGGTGAGGCTAATTCCCAGACGCAACCAGGCAGCACAACGTGTCACGCACGGGCGGTCGCACCATGTGCCACGCTCTCTGCACAATGGTGGATAGGGAGGCGGAAAAGGAGGCGGAGAAGGAGGAGGAGGAGGAGGAGGAGGAGGGGGGCGGTGGGGGAAGGAGGATACCGACGTTGGGGAGGGGGAGGAGGACAAAGGAGGAAGAGGGGGAAGGCGCAGGACGAGGAGGAGGAGGTGGACTACGAGGAGGGCGGAGGAGGCGGAAGACGAGGAGAGAGTAGGAGAGGGAGGAGGCAGCGAAAGGAGGAGCTGGAGGAGCCGGAGGAGCCGGAGGAGCCACGCGATGCAGTGTTGGGTCTTGCCCTGCCTGGCCCAGCGGAAGGCTTCGCATGCAGCGCGGTGCTGCGCCCGTGTATATACTCGCTCCTTGGCGTGGGGCTGGCGGGGGGCCAAGGGGCGAGCTGTCCGGTGTTTTCCTCGCTTCTCCTCCCTTCTCCTCCTCCCTTCTCCTCCTCAATTCTCCTCCCTTCTCCCTTCTCTCCCTCCTCTTCCCTTCTCCTTCCTTCGATTCCTCTGTAATCATTTTTCTCCTCCCTCATCCGTGTTCTTTCCTCACCACGAGGCTGGTGGCCACCGCGGCTCCTTCCTGGACTCGAAGGAGAGCAAAGGTGCAACACACAGACTCGGAGACCCGCGCATACCTCTCGGGTCGGCGGTGTAAGCTGTAACCTTTTTGGGCGGAGGAGGAGGAGGAGGGGGAGGAGGAGGAGGTGGAGGATGAGGACAGGGAGTAGTAGTAGGAGGAGGAGGAGGAGGGGGAGGAGGAGGAGGTGGAGGAGGAGGAAAGGGAGTAGGAGGAGGAGGAGGAGGAGGAGGAGGAGGAGGAGGAGGAGGAAAGGGTGCTGCCTGGCGCGCGGAGCGCGCCAGGGGCGGCGCCGGAGGTCTG